CCGGCTCGCGCGCCTCCGCGTCCCCGCCACCGCCAAGTTGGAGCGGGCCGAAGTCGGCCGCGCTGGCCGGCATGCCGGGTGCCGCGTACGCGAGGTGCTGGTGTTGGTGGTGAGGCGGCTGCTGCTGTTGCTGCTGCTGCTGCTGCTGGCGCCGGTAGAGCTCGGCGTAGCGCTCGCTCAGGTAGAGCTGGCGCGCGTTGCGGAGCACGTAGGACACCAGGAGGTTCTTGTGCAGCTTGATGCCGCCGCGCTGGGTCCGGGAGCTGTGGATCTTGCGCAGGGAGATGCTGATCAGGCTCTGGGCGTCCAGGGCGCACTCCATGCTCCCACGGAGACGGCGGCGGCGGAGCAGCCGCGGCCGCTGCTGCTGCTAATGCTGCTGCTGTTTCGGCCTCCAGCCGGTCTCCGGGACACGCCGGGCAGGGAAAACGGAGCCCGGGTCAGCGGGTCGGCTGCGCTCCGAGAGGAGCCGCCACCATGCGCTGTGCGCCACCCGCAGGCTCGTACTCCCCAGACGGCGCCAAAGCAATGAGCCTCGGCCGGCCCCGGCCCCAGCTATTTAGCCGGGCGTCTGGGCCCCGCCCCACACCTGATGAACCAATAAGAGTGCCCAGAACCTCCCGAGTGACAGACGCTGCCCGCCCCGGGGCCACTCGGCTAGCCAATCAGACCAAGGCGGTTCCTTTGTGCTATTCAAATACCGAACGGACCCAGGGCCTCCAACGCCGCCGCTGCCTCGAATGTTCTCCTGGGGCCTCCACGCTGCGCGGGACTCGGAGCCACTGGGGCCGCTGTCTGTAACATGGGTCGTCTCATAGCCGCCACGTTGGAGCCCGTGGCCACCCTCGGTCTAACTCCTGGGAGCCGGGGGTCGGCTCACCTGCGTGCTGCGGCGACGGCTCCTCCCCCTTCCGCACGGCTGGGCCTCACCTGCGGCAGGTGCGCGCGGCTCCCACCCCTGGCCACGCGGCACCTCCTTTCTCACCTGCCGCCCCTCGGTGACCTGCGGGACCCAAGGGCTTTGCAGCAGACGTGGCGCCGCCGGCTTGACTTCTGGGGATCCTAAAGGGGAAGAGAGTTCGAGGTACCCTCAGCTGCCGAGAATATTGGGCCTGAGTTTTTGGCCAACGGGCCTCACGAAATACTCGATGAAGAGCTGTCCTCCCCATTTGTCTGACGGGAAAAACCAAGACCTGGTGAATTTGGGTCTCCTCTGAGGGGGAGGCTTGGAGGCGTGCCCCTCTCAACCAACTGAGGTCCAAAGGCGTTCTAAGAGCTAACATGGAGTGTCCTAATCACCGGTTCTGTAACCTTCCTTTCCTTCCCAACTAATAATAATGACAATAGGGACTGTTATTATGTGCCTAGTATGGGGCAGGCCCCTGCCAGAAGCTAACCCTGTGACTGAGTGCAGAGCAGAGACCTACATCTCAGAGGAGTTGGGTGACTGTTGGGGAATCACACAACTCCTAAAAGGCAGAGGTCGAATTTGTGCCAAGTCTGTGAGCTCCAGATGGAAGGCGGATACCAAGGGCTGAGGAACTGGACAATTTGACTTTTGTCAACATTGTTTTCCTTCTTGTCCTGAACCGTTCGTGGGCCACCTCCTTCCAGCTGGGGACTCAGATGGTGGGGATGATCTCCAAGGGAAGACAGGGAAGGCTGAAAGGGGGTGACTGCTGCTCTGAGAGGGGGGTGCAAGGTGCCCCGGTGGGGAGGCCTCTTTGAAGTGCCTGAGGGAGAGGGGTCATTGTGTTGGCCCCTGATGGAGGAACAGGCCTCACAGAGACTATGGGCTAAGTGGACATTTCAGGGTCTAGGATGGGAGGAGGTCCCAGGAGCAGACTTCCTGCTGTTTCACCCTCTCTTTGGAATTTCTTCTGAGTCTCCTCTTTTGTTGAGCCTGTTTGTCCTCAGCACCTACTTCATCCCTTGGCAGGAGTGAGGAGGCCCAGCTAGACCATATGCACATTCTGGGTCTCCTGTAGTCTTCAGAACTCTCCAGCTTTGATTCCTCAAACAGTTTTTCAGCATCTCCTCAGTGCCAGACATCAAGGGTGAAGACAGAGTTAGGGAGCATTTACCCTATTTTTTAGATGAAGATACTTGAGGCACTGACAGTGGAAGGGACTTGCCTGAGGTCCCACAGCTCCAGATCCAGCGCTCTGTCCTTTCTATGCCGTTTGTGAATGATCTCAAGCTTGTCTGAACCCCTGTGACCGGAAGCACCTCCCTCTGTCCCCCACGCAGCGAAGCCAGGATTGACATTTTAGGGAGACCATGAGAAAGGGCATCTTACTTCCATTCTATTGGTGATCTGGTGATAGGGACACACAAGAGTGGAGCTTGTTTGTGTGACAACACCTGTAAAAAGAAAAAATACCCTGCTGCTTACTTCCCTAGGACCCTTCTTAAAGACCCACAAAGACTCATTTGCTTGTTTTTGAAATTCACCTTTGAGATATCACTAGCATGTGGAGGGAAGCGGGAGGTCCTACCAGGCTCTACAGTCAAGTCTGGGATCCATGGTTTCTGACATATTGCAAGAGTCCAGAAATGTATCATTCATGTTGATTTTGGACCTTCATTCTGTGCTTGCCCAAAATTTACTGGGGGAAACTAAGACTTCAAGTTTAGGTGTCGTGATCAAGGTCACTCAGCCAAGAGAAGGTGAAGGCAGGATTTGAACCCAGATCTGTTTCCAGGACTGGAATTTAGTTTAGATTCTTCGAAATCAGCTGCTTGCTTCTGCCATGGGGGGATCTGAGCCCAGTTCTTAGGGCTCAGCTCAGGGCAAACATGACTTTGATTTGATCAACACCTCAGCACTTCCTTGTCAGCTGCTCTGAGACGATGGCCTGCAAGCGTCCACAAAGGAACAAATCTCTCTCCCAGCTCAGCTCAGCACTGACAGCCATTTCAGAGCTGCACCCCATACCTCTGGGGGCCCAGATGGGGCAGCAGGGTAGGGACAGAAGTAGCCACAATCTGGGGGTAGAGGAGCCGGGCCCTCACTTGGGCAACACCTCTTGGCACTTCCCAGCCCCCCACTCAGCTTCTGCCGCAAGGTGAGTTTGAGCTCTGCTAAGGCTCTCATTCCCTGGGGCCAGCTGAGATGTGGCCAGCCCCACCTGCATGGCCTTCTTCTCTGGGCCCTCCTGTATGGGGCCCACGCTTGCTTGGTCTCCCTCCTTCTCAAGAACTGAGGGGTGGGCTGGTGGGGAGGCCTGAGCAGTTGTCCAGCATAATGAAAACTCTTGATCCTTTTTGGGGTGGCCTGGCCGGGAAGGGGTGGGGGCGTTGCTGCAGCTGTTGTAAGAAAACACTTGCTGAAGGAGGCAAGGAACAGCTGAGCTATTTGGTGCCCCTGGGAGCAGTGAAGATTGGGGGACACACAGTAGGAATTCACAAATGTTTATAGAATGAATGAGTCGCACACAAGTCTTCCGTTTGGATGTTCATGGCTCAGAGCAGGTCATTACAGACTGTTCAGGGCATCGAGTGTGTACGTGTGTATGTGTATATACATCCATGTGCAAACATGTGCAGTGGGGCAGGTCCAAGTGAGACAAGGCTTCTTGGGATGAAGGGCTGGCCCTATTGGTCTGGGCACCTGAGAAAGGTTGGGGCTCTCACCTTTCCCCCTGGAGCTGGGAGATTACATCTGGCCCTGAGTCACCGGTCCCTGGAGGAAGTTAATTAATACCTAAATATTTACCGAGTGTCTGCTGGGACAGTGTGGAGCGGGGCACAGAACCTACTGGGACCTGCCTGGGCTCCTGTCAAACCCCAGGTGGTGTCAGCTCCAAGCTGGAGCCATGAACATGTCAAAAATGCCACCCGTGTCTGTGGGCACCTTTTGGCCACCCAGCTCAGAGGTGGGAGATGCGCTAGGAAGGTTCCTGTTCAGCAGTGGGACTTGCCTGGTGGGCTGCCCAGGATTGGTTTGGGGAAGAGGATGCAGAGGCAAAAGGCTTAATTGACGGTATTGTGTTACGGGAAAGGGGAAGGGGGAGAAAGTTCTGGAATTTACGTATTCATTCCTTTGTTCTTTCGCCCAAGAGATAGTTCCAGAACCTTGCTCTGGAATCCCTACAAACGAGTCAGGGAACAAGACATGATCCTGCCCTCAGGAGGCCGCAATTCAGATGGAAGCAGACAAGGTAAACAGACTGGATGATGCAGCGATAAGTCTGTGATAGGAAGAAGGACAGGGCTGGAGGAGGGCTGGGTGGGGGGACCACAAAGCTGGCCCGGTAAAGGCTTCCTGCAGGAAACTGAGACTGGGAGGCCAAAGGGGAGCGCCCTTTCAGCAGAGAGAAGAGCTTGAGGCCCAGTACAGGGTCTGGTACTCAGTAGGCACTCAATAAATAGTTGTGAAATAAATCAGTCAATAAAGTATGCAGAAGACACTATTAGCATTGGAAGGGCCCTAGGGACCGGGCTGTCTCCATCCCTAATTTCCAGATGGGTACACTGAGGTCCAGAGAGGAGGAGGGATTCGCTGAGGGTGTCGACCCGGAGCTGGGGCTGGAACCCAGGCATCTCGCTTCCTAGTCCAGCCTCTGGCTGCCCCAGCTCGTTGTCTCTGTGGAGTGGGGGTTGCTCCCTGGTGACTGAGATTGGGGACTGTGGGCAGTGGCAGAGAAGGTGTGTGGCACGGCTGACCTCGGGGATCACTGTCGAGTCCTCTCTGGGGCTGCAGAGCCAGTGGTGCTAGAATGCAGGAGTCCCATGCTGCCCCCCAAGAAGGCTGTTCTGTGGCTGATAGGCACTGGGGAACTTGGCTGGGGTCCCAGAGCTGGGGGAATCCCCCCTCCTCTGAAGAACCAGCATCTTGTCACTGTCCTGGGCACAGGTTAATGACTGGTCTGTGTTTGCCCAGCATGGTCCTGGGCAACAGGCTCGGTGCCCAGGAAGACATCATGGCTCCTGGCTTCAAGGTCCTTAAGCATAATGTGGAAGACTGACAGTGGCTTGGCTCTTTGGAGTTCTTGCTCTGTGCCAGGCACTGGGCCAAGTGCTTCCCACGGTGGGCTCATTGAAGCCCCACACCAACCTTTGAGGCAGGTTCAGTTATAATCTCCATTTTACGGATGAAGCAATGGAGGCAAAGAGAGCTTGGGTGACTTGCCTGGGGTCACACGGCAAGGAAGAAGTGACTCCGACCATCCTCAGCAGGGGGAGACTGGAGACTCCTGCTGCTACTTTTGTATTCATTGGCCTTTTGAACAAATTCTGTACCTGTCGATGGAATGTACATAGAGGGCAGATGTGTTTTCTCACCTGGAGGGCTCTGCCCAAGCACATGGCACAGGCTGTGTCCCCATTTTTTCGTTCATTCACTCATTCGTTCGTTTATTCATTCACTAACTCAGTAACCACGGGCTAAATACTGGCCAATGAACAGGTGCTGTGCTAAGAACACCAGGCAGCTCTCACTGCCCAGAGCGGGGCTGAGGATCCTTGTAATCTCCTAGGCCAACTCTGATTGATTGGTAGTGTCTATCTGGAACCCTAGGTTGGAAGGGATTTGGCGTGT